GGCTAACGGCTTATATGCTGAAATAGCTTACTACTTTCTGTTTCTGAAAAACAGAAAAAAAATATAGGTTGTTGCGATAAGTTTTTCACAAAATCCGGTGACGCGAACCCCTAGAAATTCCACATAGAACGCAGCTATTTGGGTCATCAGGCGACAAACCGCATCACCCTTGCTCGCGGACTAATACCAAAAACGCTTCGCTGGCCGTCCAACTTCACCGCGCCGAAAAACACTACAATCCCAAGGCTTTTTGATCAATTCAAAACCTAGTTGAAAATCTACAGCAATCACCGAGCTATGGGGAGCCAAACCTAGCGTGACAACCTCGCAGATCCGGCGATTTACTGCGCACTATTTGGAACCCTGGTCAGAATTAAACTCCGACCCGGAACCTAAAACACTGTAATTATAGAATTTCCTCATTAATTATGCAAATAAAGTTCTCATTTGCATAACTTGCAGTTAATTATGTACATCTCTCTGTCAGATACCTACACACCAAAAATGATGAAAATACGCTGTTCCTATCTGGACTTATTGGCTTTTAAAGATTTCGCCCTAAAGTCCCCTGCAGTTCCTGAACAAGCTGCTAGGGGGACCAAACCCACACCACTTATTCCTGACAGGAAAAGCTATCTGTCACCAAAAAGTCAAGACCATAGCTTGTTCAGGACCAAAGATACAAAAACCGGAAGTTCTGCTGCAGTACCAAGGTCATCCACCAGGAGGCCCATATTTGACCTTGACCTTTGTCTTCTTAAGACTTATCAGCCTACCAAATATCATCACAATCCATAAAGTCGTTATGAAGTTATGCTGACTACAAAGTTGCGGAAACACACACAGACACACACACAGACACACACACACACACACACACACACACAGACACACAGACAGACGCCGCCAAAAACAATACCTCCATTTTTCATGGAGGTAATAAGGTATACAGCATACAAACTTGAAACAGTGAGCTCACGAAGTCAACATGTTGTGGAGACGAGGTCATGAAATTTTCAGCCTTTTTTTTATACTGGTAGGCATGTCGTGGGAGGAAGCTTCCGGAAGGACAATCGTCAAAACGTTGACAATTTCTCCTTTACATCCTCATGCTATACATTCAACGTCACAGTGAATAAAAAAAGGAATTGATAAAGTGTCTGTTGCTGACAAACCACTTGCCTGGAAGTGTACTTCAGAGCAAGTTTGTTGTGGTCATGCAGCGCCATTTTCAAAACCGCCATTTTGAGTACTTGTTGTTGAAGACGATACCACTAGTCTGTACGTGGATGTGGCAAATGATCACAACACTAAAAATTAGTGACGAATACATCGGAATAGTGCTGAATAAAGGTTTCTGTCTGGTAACATTAATCGTAAAATTCTTCAATTATTTTTTTCTTTGAACTAAAATGTCCCGCCGTAACTGATCCGACTTTGGTCCCCTTCTTCGAAAGTTCAATAGTCCCAAGCCACCTGATCTGATGTAGCGCTGCCGGTGGTGCACTGGCCTACCGACTGTGACATTTGATGCTGATGATAATAAGTGTAAGTGTAAGTGTATGTTGTTTGGCAAAGGGATTGAGAAAAAAGTTATTGTGAATGGCAAAATTACAGGCAAACAGCTACACTGTTGTATGGTGTTGGATTAAGGTTTCGCTTAGAACAGAATATGCAGGGCATGGTGAAATCGGGAGCGATGTTGAAGACGCAACTTTTCCAGCGATATCTCAATGGTTGGGAGAGTGACACACACATAGGTATGACATTAAAAACAGGCTACAAGATGAACTCAATCAATGATTATGAAAATATGGAATGTCTGGTTGTGGATTTGTCATTCAATCTTGCCTGTGCATAAAAGTGTCGGATTAAGGTTCACTGCTGTTACAAAGGAACAATGTATTTTTATGATTTTTGGTAAGTGGGTAGCTTAGATCTACACTATTGGATGCAAATTACGCAAATGATGACTTCATTTACATAATTAATGAGGAAATTCTGTAATTCCAGTATTTTACATCATGGGACTTTGATAATGTAATGTTTATAATCTATGGTATGTGGAATATCAACAGATACCACATTATGCAAATATGGATCTAATTTGCATAATTAATCTGAAAATTCTATTACTCAGTAATGATGGGAATTTCATACTTGGGACATGTGTAAGTTAATCAAAAGTTAACATCACAATGCATATATTATGTTAATGCAGAGGTCTTTTGCTATAATGAAGGAGAAATTTACATTTACATATCATTATCAAGCCCATATTTCATGGAGGTATGAGATCTCAGAACTCTTGTTTATAGAGTGCTCTTTGCAGAACACAAACATGCCAAATTTTTGTAAAATATATGATCTCAGGGCTTCCGCCAGGAGCATAAAAGTGATAAAATTTAGCTGTGATTATCATATTCATTTATATCTTCATATAAGTAAGCTTTATTTTAAATCTACCTAGACCAAAAGTATCTTATGGACCCTGTGCTTTATGTTATTTTGTAAGTTCACGAAGATAACACATAAGTTACAGTATATTGCACACAAAAGTGGGGGGACCAGTTAATTAGATAGAAAGGGTGAGAAGTGACTTAAGAATACAGTTTTTTTTTTGCCCTTTGGGGATTTCTATGGTTAAGGACCCCAAAGTGACTCACTTGACGCAGTAGAAATTATAGTATGGTGCACAAGCGAGGTTCAGAATTTTGGTATGTTTTATTTCAGGGTATGGTGTACAAAATATGTGAAAATGAGCTTATGTTTGTTCTCTTGTAATGCCCTCTTTTATTAGCGTCATTGCGGAGGGCATGGAACTGCAGCCAACGCACTGTGTACTAGTCGGTTCATCAAGTATCCAAGCGCAAATCTACAGCAACTAAACATGCACTGTAATTCAACTTTTACAGTCTCAAAACTGACGTATTCCTCTAACATTCACCACAGGTTCCATCTCGATGTCATGCACTCTGCACGCTTCTCTAGTATTGTGCAGCACTACTTTGTTTCCTACTATTTCTACGGGGTTCGCTTAGAAATACTGTGTTATGCGACCTTAACTACATCTCAAATTGTTAGCTGTCATTTTGAACATTATGCATTACATTTACATGTATATACTACTTACTAGAGATTTGGAATCTCAGATTTCTTTTTTGTTGGTGTTAGTCCCTCCATCAGGCTCTGGGATTGATGGAACTGAAGAAGTGACTGTGATGGTGGATAGTCTGGTAGAACTGCCCTGTAAGGTGGATGCTTTCCCTCCTCCAACATTTTCTTGGATCAAAGATGGACAAATGCTGTCAGGCAATTCTCTGCAGCATGTTGTTTTACCCTCTGGAACACTGAGGATTGCTACAGTCCAAGTTGCTGACAGTGGAGAATACAAATGTGTTGCTTCTAATGTGGCAGGGGAGTTAACAAAGGACTACACTCTTGATGTCCAAGGTGAGAGATATGAAATATGTTGAACTCAAATCACTAATCACTAGTCATTTACAAGTACCCGGTAGTAAAGATGGTCTGACTGATGAGCTGTCATTAAGTTGGTGGCCTCATCAGGAATAAGACCTCTGCGATTTCTACCAAAGATACATACGCCCGCCCCTTGAATATGCGGCCCCAGTTTGGAATTCAATCTCTGCACATCAAGTAATAAAAATTGAACTCATACAAAAATGAGCATTAAAGATGGCCCCCTGTACACGTCTTACAACATCGCCCTCACTGTCCTAATTATGTTTGCCGTCCCTACAGAAAAGAAGAGAAGCCCTCAGCCTTAAGTTTGCAAAGTCCCTCCTTAACTGCCCTAGTTTGTCAATGTTCTTTGTTTAGCTGACCTTATTGTTTAGTCTGTTTTTAAAGCCTGAGTGCGTAATTCAGCATTTTTATACGCTGCCATGTACCTGGATTGTTGTCAATGAACTATATTATTATTATAAATTGATGTAGGGTGAATCAAATTTTGCAGCATTACTATAAATTGTAATGCCTCTATCAACGTCCATGTTTCAAAGCATCATAGCTTTTTTGCACATCACCTTTTGAACATAGGTGAGGGAAAAACCAAGAACAGAATTCAGTTGAGCTAAACCAGAGTAGTAATGGTCAACATCAGGGTCTTTCAGCTCTCCTTCAGGATAGAGGACACTAGGTTTGAAAGAAGTATATAAATATTTTCACTGTGTGTTTCTGATTTCATTCTACATGTATAAGGCACCTAAAAATGATCACAGCTCCAGCCTCTTCCTGATATTTAGAAATACAATGTACATCCAAATTTACAAGCTGACATCAATGGGCCCCAGCAAACAGCAAGGGACAGTGTACAGTTGTATATTTTTTACAGTTTATACATGTGTATATATTTTACAGACAAAAAATTCTGAAAGTATTTTGTAATGATCACTGTTTTCCAGTCATTCCCAGTATATCTGAAGACAAGACTGAGTACACTGTGGTACAAGGTCGGCAGGTTGTGCTGACATGTGATGCTGATGGTGTGCCCTCCCCAACTGTGACCTGGAAGAATCGAGGAGAACCTGTAAGTGACAGGCCGGGCATGTCCATCTCAGACACAGGAGCTCTGATCATAAGTTCAGCCAGGCCTGCAGATTCTGGTCCTTACACCTGCACAGCCATCAACCCAGCAGGGGTAGCCTCCAGACAGGTCAACCTGCAGGTGTTTGGTAAGGTTTTAGATCTGCTATTTACCTACATTGTATTGTCCATGTACAAGAAAAATATCTCACATTCTCTGGAATTCCAAGGACCTTGTGATTGACCAAAGCACATATGAACAAGGACATATATCGAGTTTTATCTTGATATAACAGGAGCCGTCCTTAGTCTGATAGGGGTCCAAGTCCGAAAAAAGGTACTTTAAAAGCTTGTAAAGCATGGAAACTTCTCAGAATTTCAGGGGAGTCCTGTACGAACATGTTTGTGGTGGTGGATTTTGCCGGCGTTGCGCGTGGGCCGATATTTTGCAAGGAGTAGTGGGCATTCGCTTCAAACCTGGAAGTAAAGTGGGTATTCGCTAAGAAGAGAAAAAAAGCAGTTAATTTTGATTTACTTAAGTTCAGCTCAATGAATTCGCTTCAAACTTGGTATGGACATGCGGGAGCACACTCTAGACATGACCACACAAAAAAATTTAACATTCGTGCAACAATTCCTGGGCATTCGCTAAAAAGAGAAACCATTGGGCTATTTCCTCCTGTTCCCTAATATTAAAACCAAATGACCTGGAATTTGGTATGGGGGATCCTTGGATACAAGCCCACAGAATGTTATTTTCACATTTGGCATGTGTCACTTTAAAATCATGTAAAATGGGCCATTTTTTGCTATTTTTGACCAAAAATGTACATTTTTGGCTCTTATGCGCTACAGTAACTACAAAAACTAAACGACCTGAAATACAGCATGCTTAGACTATAGTGTTCACTATTCAGACTCAGAGCGGTTTTGTAAGGTACTGCAGCTGGGTATGATCATGGAGTTCTCATGCTGTGGACATACTATGGTCTTGATTTTTAAGTGGGACATAGATGCTTGGGCAGTAAGTATCTGGTGTGGTTGTCAGCAAAATAGCTGCTTTTTTGGAGCTTCTGTGGTCATTTTTATGACGGGATGTGACTAGATGGCATCATTTTTTATGTTGTGGATGTTTTTTGTAGGTAGCTTGTAGTGAAAGAAAAAAGAAGGTTAAGGTCAAATTTGGGCATTCTAGTGACTTTCTAAGGTATTGCAGCGGCAATTTTAGGTTTGACATTTAGCTAGACTCGAATCAAGGAATGTAGAACAGATGTTCACAGCCAGTGGGGGGAGGACAGATGTTAGATTGTTGACTTCTGTCTCAGGACATATTTTCCCATAGGAGCATTATTAAACAGTAGACCACGGCTTGATGTCCCGTCCCTCTTTCCGGTAGTGGCAAGTCAATGAAACCACCAACATGAAAACTCCACAGCACTCCAAACCTGAAAAGATAGTAGTGAGGACAATGACAAGCATCATGACTATGTCGGAATATTTCCACATTTGTGTAACGTGTGTTTCTGTACTCCAACTTACGTATCACACACATCCTTTGGGTTACATTTTACATGTACATACCAGCAAAATACAAATAAAACAATATACAGCAGCACATCTCTGATAACCCAAACTTATGCATGACGAAGGTATGAAATCATCAACCTCTTGTTACATGTATGTTATGCACAAGGACCTCTCCCGTTAACATCCTTGGTATAAATACATGTTACATAACTGTTACGTAACATAATGTACATTACTATTAAGCACTGATGACAAATATTGTACTTGTATCTGTTTCTTTTTATTCAGTCCCACCAACAGGTGATGGCTTTCAGGGAGGAATCAATGAAATCAGTGTAACTGTTAGGAATCCAGTCAGTCTGCCATGTGATGTGGATGCTATCCCCCCACCCATATTTGCATGGATTAAGGATGGAGAAACCTTGTCAGGCAATTCCCTACAACATGTTGTCTTACCCTCTGGAACTTTGAGCATTGCTGCTGTTGAAGTAGATGATGCTGGTATATACAGATGCATTGCAACCAATGTGGCTGGCAACTTCACAAAGGAGTTTGTTCTTGATGTCCATGGTAAGTTACTACATATGCCAAGAAGGCTATGTTTTTGGCAGCATTTGTTTGTATGTGGTTCGGTACTATAACTTAAGAAGCTATGGATGGATTTTCATGGAACTTGCTTAGTGGGTAGGTCTTGTCGAATTTGATTTTTGGTCATGAATTTTTTTTTGTGTTTGCTTGAAACACAGCTGTCAGCTATGTTTTTTTATGTTTTGGTAGTTTGTGGTGGCACCACAAACTGAGTGCACCACATGTGGGCTGTTTTAGCCCCAACCATAAATGTCAGCAATGTGAGATAATCCTCAAATATATTAAAAAGTGGACGTAAGGCCACAGCAAGTAAATTTTATGGATGACATCCTCCGCAGACTCCAAATCTAATGTGATAGAGTAAAAAAAAACAAGGCTGGCCAAACTTCAAGATTCCTATATTTTCAAATGTTGACATCATAAACCTTGTTGAACAAAAAATGATACCTGTATTTACTGTCAACTATTACAACATCCCTTTCTCACTGAAACGACTTTTAGAAAAATAAAAGTTTTCAATCATTGTACAAATGGTTTTGATTCAGTGGGAACATCACATACATTGTATACACAGCCACCACCAAAGGAGTGAAATACATCACTGCATCAAAGTAAAAGACAAAACATTAAATCAGAGCCTTGTCTTGTCTCCTCTCTTCATATTTATCTGCCAGCCACATTCTGGCATGGCAACAGAAATCTTTGCACATTTTTAGCATGTTGACCACTGTCAGAGGGCAACAAAATTTCTTCACTTTATTTTTCTAAAAAATCAGCCAAAATTAATGTGCACACTTATGCCATCCATAAAATTACTTGCTGTGGCCTAAATTACAATCAGAAAAATATGCTTCAAATTGAAATATTAATTTTTGGTGCACAAATGTTATATAATGCCCCCTTAAATTTTCGATTGTCATTTTGCAGGTAGCGTGTACATATAAGTGATCCCTGATGATACACTGATGACACTTAATTCTTTTTTTTGCAGTTCCTCCATCTGTTAGAGATGGAACAGTGACCATTAGGGATGTTACTGTTACATTCAACACTTCTGTTACCCTGGATTGCTTGGTTAGTGGCATCCCAAGACCTTCGGTTCAATGGCTGAAGAATGGAAAGGATGTACAAATTGGAGGTCAAGTCATACTCAAAAACTCTGGGGAGACACTGCATATCCCCAGAGCAAGTCTTCAGGATGGGGGAGTGTACATGTGTGTTGCTACAAACATTGCAGGGGAGGATACTCAATCGTGGGCTGTGACAGTGTTTGGTAAGTTATAAGACAAGAATACATTGTAACATTATGCAGATGGTGGGTCAGCCTATTTACCAGAATATGCTGTTATAAGTTAACGTCCCTGGTTACTGTATTTGGGATAGGATAACATATAACATTACATGACCAACAGAACAAAGAAATTACTACTATAAGAAATTTTTGAGTGGTGAATGGTTGTGCAACTGGGCCAGTTACCAACTTTGTTTTCATAATAATTTGCAATGTGACGGGCCAGGATCATCCAGTAATTTCTTGTTCCCAGGGTCATGAATTGATAAATAAATAAATACCAACTTGCAATGTTAACATGCTAGTATGATATGTATCAAAGTAACCATTCTTTATTTTGACACACTTTGCAACTGCAATGTGTTGAAGTGTTTAGTTTTATAGCCCGTTGCCGGCAGATCTTGGTTGGCAAATGATAATAATAATAGCCTGCCAAGTTGATACTGCCGGGCCAATTTGAAACTGTCATTGCAGACACTGATAGAACTGCGTGGATGTTAAAATTTCACTACTCTTTATGTGCATTTCTCACTGTACCCCTGCCCCGCTGCCGATTAATTTCTGGTGATTTTTTTCCCTGGACCATGTTTACCGGGGTATATTATCTTATATGTAGAAATACAGCAACCTGGGATGTTAACCTACAGAAGCATAGTATATTCTCTGCAGTTTTTACTCTATTTTTTATTCCAGCATGTTCTGGTGAAGACATGTAAGCTGACCACAGCTGGATTCAGTCATTCCCTTTCATTTTTTCATTAGGTAGTGATGGTTCTCTGCATGTTTCTTGCTTACAAAAAAAAAAAACATTAGCCTGGCATGAATATTGTTCCTGGGAGTGCCATGTGTTAGTCATTGTATCACTGCTGTTGTTTCCAGTGCTTCTGACAGCACAAATCACCTTGGAGTAAAGGAATTTGGACTATGCTCAGTTACATGTAACATTACATGTATTTTTCAGAACATGTATTCCAGAACATGTTCTGAAATACATGTTCTGAAAAATACATGTTCTGAAATACATGTTCTGAAAAATACATGTATTCCAGAACATTTTACCGCCAGAGAGGAACATGAGCCACACACATATCCAGTTGCTTGAGTAACTGTTTTTTAGCATATCGTATTACCTGGATGTCTAACCTTCATCGACGTATGAGCCACACAACTTCTTTTTATGCTAATGACAAGTTGTTCTGTTGTAGTTCCTCCCAGTATATCAGATAGTCAGAGCATGGTAGTCCTGAAACCGCTGGAGACTGAGGACGTCTCTATGGCCTGTCAAGCTACTGGTGTTCCTGCACCGGTTTTTGTCTGGCTGAAGAATGGCCATTCCTGGCCTGTTGGTAACAGTAAAGTAACAACAGAGATACAGACCACCCTACAGAGTGATGGGCAGAGTAGTGTGTCCAATTATCTCACCATCAGGAATGTAAAGGTAAAGAAAACCATTTGTTCCTTTATCTACAAAATACACATTATGATTCTGGTCTCGTGATACTTATATATTGTATGGCATACCTGAATATGTGCAGTGAATTTCAAAGTAAATCATGCCAGGGTGATGAACAGTTCATCTTCAGTCTGCCAGCCTTGCATACATATTTAGTTCATGTAAAATTAGAGTTGTGCAGGTATTTCTGATGCCTACCTAGCCTGCACCTATCCTGCACTGAGCCAGCAGTATAATGGCAAAAAAAGAATTCAAATGGTTTAATAGCTTTAAATTTTACTTCAAACAACTTTTCTGGGAATTTTGCATGCACCACTGTAGGTATACAGTATTTTAAGGCTTGGTGCTAGTTAAAGTTAGGAATTTATTATTGATAGTGATACTACAACCTGCTCAAGCCGGCTACCCAGGGGACCTGAAAAAAACAGTCTGGTTGGACAAAGTGGTCTCCTTGAAGAGGGTTCACTTGATTCTCCTGAATCATAACATGACTGAGAGTGAATGGTCTCTGATTCGAGGTGTTTCAATGTCAAATACTGCAGGTATCTTTATTAGATTCCTGGGGCCTAAACTTCGCAAGTTCTGACAAATGAAGCAATGTTTAAAAATTCGAAATTCATCAAAGTCAACCACGTACTGTACTGCACAGTGGTATTAACATTTTCAAGCGCTTTGAAAGCCAACCAACCGGATACCAACTGTAAGCCCCTTGTGATGTGTATTCACGGTTTAATCGATTACTATCTACGGTGTACAGAGCAGTACAGCAACACCACAGATGATACAAACTTTGGTAAAGTAACTTTCACGCACAGTAAATTATCCGAGTAATGACAAATGGGCGTAAACTTGAGAAGAGAAAAATTACAGCGCACTGGAATTTCCTCTGATATCACGTAGGGTACTGCTCCATTGACCCAAAATGACCCAGCAGTGGCTATTCCCAGACGAAAATATTGTGCTGTAGTCCATACCCAAGACAAAAATGACCAGTTTTAGAATCAATGTCACTACTGATTGAAAAATTTACCAAATTATGACCCTGTCAACCGGTTACCATTGGAAGGTATTGGACCATTGGCGGACATATGGCGGTTGCAGTCACATTGGCCAAGTGGCCGCCAAGGGCAGCTCTTTAATGCCTGGGTCAATGGGGAAAATTTTCGGGACCAAGAAAAAACGGTCACGATGGCTAGGTGGTCAGGTTGAATAGGTGGTTGCCTGGGCAGGTTTTACTGTATCAGTTAAAAGTTCCTTTTGATATTCTGAATTTTATTCTGCCTAATTGTTCAGGCCAGAACTTTATTATGAGAGTTAATACCTCTATAACCAGTGACTTTAAGAAAAGTGTATATGACTACTTAAAGTATATTTTAAGAAAAGAATAGAACCTTGTTGTAGTATAGAGACATAACCTACAGTATTGCAGAGACATGATCTGCATATATATACAGTACATGTCAGCCAGTAGGTGGGAGATAATTGCTTTTACTAACACTTTCTCTGGCAGGTTGGTGACACTGCCATTTATAAATGCATTGCCAGGAACTCTGCTGGGGAGAGTAACAAGAACTTCAACATCAGTGTCCTTGGTGAGTGAGGTGCTTGATTCCTCATTTTCACTCATGATCAAGACCTCCAAGTTATGGTTTCCAGCATCTAACTGCTAGAGTAAAGGTCCATGACACTAATAGATGACAGCCAGCCACACTTTCAGGCTTTCAACAGTTCAAGAAAAGAAAATGTTACGCTCTCTCTGAGGCCACGCCAATTTCTCAGATTCGCCTCTTCATTTTTTTCTGATTTGCAAAAAAAAAAAAAGTTCTGGTTCTGAATCAACTCAAATATGCTCATATTTTGCCCCCAACAGTTGATGAAAGCCATTTTCTTCCTAGTTGTTACAGTTTTTCCATCCATAAATGCAGTGGTTTGATTAAAAGTTCAAAATTCATTGTTTATATATTAACCCAGTTTTTACCTTCGCCAAGAAGGTTTTCAGAGGCGTTCGTCTGTGTGTCTGTAAACATGATAACTCAAGAAGGCTTAAATGAATTGTATTTGGTAGATGGGTAGGTCTACTCAAGAAAGAGAACCGGTCGTGATTTTTGGTATTTAGGTAGCTTAAGTAACGCTTGACATAATTATGCGACAATTATGCAAATCTGAATGTAATTTGCATAATTTGAGGAAATTCTATAAATTAGCTGCATTGCATTATAGGACTATTCAAGCTTGTGACATGTACTTGAGAATGAGAGAAACACAGGCAAATATTGATTATGTAAACTAACATTTAATTTGCATAATTAATGAGAAAATGTTATAATTCCATAATGGTAACTGCCTGGAATTTCATACTTGTTATAACTTATTCAAATAAGGACATCATATGCATAATTTATGAGGAAATGATAGAATGACTTTCTTCATTGAAATAAGGCTGTCTTTTGGTGGAGAATATGATCAACTGATATAATTCATGCAAATAAGTAGCCATTTGCATAATCAGGAGGGATAATCTTTACTTTGTCAGTCATTTGGCGAAGGTATGAGATTGTGGAACTCTTAGGCCACACCAATTTAATTTCTTGGTTAACGGATTTTTCTAGAAAGATAATGGAGCGGGCGGGCGAAAAAAAAATAAAAATAAAAACAGGCCTAGGCATCCTATTATGGCCCAAAATGGTACGATAGGAGCCATGAACCAACAAACCAGGCTGGTGAAAAATTTAAGCAATGAATTTTGAACTTTTAATGATACCACTGCATTGAAAGATGGAATAACTTTAACAACTAGGATGTAAAGGACTGTTTTCAACTGTTCAGGGCAAAATATGAGCATTTTGCAGTTGATTCTAAATTTTTATTTTTATTTGCAAATGAGAAAAAAATGAAGCGGCGAATCCGTTAACCAAGAAATTAAATTGGTGTGGCCTTAGACTAGTTTGTGTTGAGTTCATGGCTCCTATTGTAGCATTGGGCTATGATAGGATGTGTAGACCTTTTTTTTTCATCTTTTTTGCCCGGTTGCTTCATATTTTTTCAGAAAAAAATCTGAGAACCAACAAATGAAATTGATGTGGCCAGAACTACAAACATATGCAAAAATTTGTAACATTGGTGGGGATAAGGGCATTCTATGGTGAAATAATAATGCAGTAATATTACAGATCAGTGGTCATTTTACATCAGTTTGCAGTTCTGATTTAGACAATTACAGTAAGACACAATGTTGGCTATATCCTCCCTCATATTGACTTGTACACCATACTTGTTTTGTTAGTGAAACCTCAAATCTCTGGGCCTGAACCACCGACTCCCATGATTGTACAAGTTGGGACATCCCTGTCTCTGGAATGCATCTCCAATGGAGTCCCAGCTCCCACAGTGCAGTGGAGGAAGGACGGTGCTCTGCTGTCTTCAGATGGTCGATTGACATTACTGTCCCGGGGACAGCTGCTGAACATCAACACTGCAATCCAGAATGATGAGGGGCTGTACACTTGTGTAGCTTCAAATGAGGGAGGGCAGGCATCCAGGAGCTTTAGAGTTAATATTCATGGTAATAATGACACTCTGTTACCAGTCTCTGTGACACTGTATACCAAAGGAAGTTGAGTACCCAAGAACAGCCAAACCCATTCAGGCAATCAAACTTCATGCCAAATTTCATGTTGTTTGGCCCCAAAATGAAGTAATTGAATCCATTTAAAGAAATGGCAGCAGGAGGAGAAGGAGGAGAAAGATGAGAGAAAGCAATATGTCTTCACCACTTTGTTTATGATTGGATAGCGCTCTAACATCCCGTATGTTATAAATTGGTAAGGATTTTTATTGCCGTTGTGTCAACAGTTGATTTTCAAGATTTTAATAAAAAAATGGTCTCACATGCCACCTTATTCAAATGATAGAGCAGGAAATTTTGACATGCCTACTAAAAGACTTGATGGCAGTTCCTATTATCAACATGTTGCATGTGATCAAGGCAGCAATCACCTAATCATATCAACAGCCAATCAGCAAGAAGAAAACAACCTGCCATAACCTGTCATGCATATTGAAGGCTGTATGCCCATTGATTGTTGCTCTACACACTGTACAGTAAATTTGGACTTCAAAAATACCAAATTATTGTATAATGTTACATTTTTAAAGGGGTGTATAGTATTGATTTATTTCTATTGGTATATGTTACAAGTATCTAAGGCACCAAATTTCAGATCATTATGAAATTTCATGATCATTTTATCCCTTATGATAATGCACTATATTATGTTACTCCTGAATGTCTTCCCTGGTCCCTATGACCCAAACAAACTTGTTATTCCCAAGACAATAGCATTCCCAAGTCTGGTGTCAGTGCTTACTAAGTGTTTTTCTGTTCAGTTCCTTCTCAGATAGCTGGTGCAGACATACGTGAAAACATGACCACAATAGCCGGTGACATAGTGGAACTGCAGTGTGATGCCAGTGGGAACCCCCAGCCAGCTGTTACATGGACCAAAGTAGGCCACCATGGTGGTAAAATAGACAGATGGAAACTTCTCAATGAAGGTCACACTCTGCAGATAGTCCAAGTCCAACCTGAGGACAGTGGCATGTATCTGTGCACAGCCATTAACAGTGCAGGAGACGATGAGCGAGAATATTTTGTCAAAGTACTTGGTGAGTGTATCAGCTTTTACAAGAAAGTTCACAGATGACTTACATGTAAGTGGTGTCAGAATTAACAAAAGTATTAAAATCAATCAAGTGGGTAAAATCTAGTAACTGTATACAGGGCTCAAAATACCCATGTGCAATGTGAAAAATACACATGATTTTCAAGATTTACACAATATTTTGATTGTGCAACTTTGCACCTAGAGCAGGAGTTGCAGGCAAAGAAACAAAAAGTACTTGGGATTTGGCTCTCCCAGCCCTAAGGACAGACAAACAACAGGAGCTTCTTGACTAATTTGAATCATCCGTGTTTCCTTTTGGACTTGTCTTTACTTATTTGCACATCAGTCAATAGTTCTTGCTTATAAACCTGGCATTCTCCTGCAGTCTCTTAGTGTCACTGACGAAAGGTAGCAGATCCTACCTGAAATGTCTGTTTCCAAAACCATATACAGTTGCTTGAGTAACTCTTTTTTGGCGGATCTTATTTATTTATTTATTTATTAGAATTTTCCAGACAACTGGATGGGAGGACAAAACAGGTGAATATACACCTTTGCTAGTTGTCCTCCCAAATACCTGGACGTCTAACCTTCACCGACATAAATACAATTTTGCACATAAGTTTTTCAAATTGCACCTAAAATTTTTGTCAATGTGCAATTTTGCATGTTCCTGAAAAAAAGTATTTCCAGCCCTGGTATATTTTGACCTGTCAAAAAGTTGAAGCAGCGGAGTGGACAAAGAACAAGTATTCAACTTTGCAACATTCCAGGCAGAGCATAAACTAGTAATTATTTTTTATGTATACAAAATACTGCTAACACTTTTTAAATTGTAATCATGTAAGCGCTTGCCATTCAATGCTCATAAATCTCTGTAAATAAATAAGATTAAACAGTAATTTCTTAATATATTATTGTTCACTATCAAATTCAGCAATGAAAGTTAATTTAATACACTTTATTCTTCTTCAGTACCCCCTTCAATAGACCTCACTGGATCAGGTGCAGATGTAACAGCAGTTATCAACAGACCTATGGAGCTTACGTGTCCGGTAGAAGGTATTCCCACACCTCAAGTTAGATGGCTTCACAATCAGAAACGTGTGAACCAAGATGAGAACATTCGCATCACCAGACAGGGCCAGACACTGTCTATATCTAGTGTACACGTCTCTCATCGAGGCACATTCACCTGTATTGCAAGCAACATTGTTGGGGAAGAGCAAAGAAGCTTCAGGACCATAGTGCAAGGTAGGTACTAAGAGCTATAACGTTACAATATACATGTATGTGTGCTTTAGGCCGCATCAATTTAATTTGTTGGGTCTTGGATTTTTGTCAGATAACTATGAAGAGACAAGGCAAAAAAGTTAACAAAAAAAAATCTTATTTTTAGCCCCAAATGCTATAATAGGAGTCATGAACTGGGTTAATATTTAAACAATGAATTTTGAAGTTTTAATCTAACCATTGCATTTATAGATGAAAAAACTGTAACAAGTAGGTGGAAAAGGGCTTTCCTAAACTGTCGGGGGCAAAATTTGAGCATATTTGAGTTGATTCAGAACCAGAATCTTTTTTTTTTTTTTTTGCAAATCAGAAGAAACCAAGAGTTCCGAGATTTCATACCTCCATGAAATATGGGCTTCACATTTAGTTGTAAATTTCTTCTTGAATTATGCAAATTACCTCTACATTTACATAATATATGCATCATTATGTTAACTTTTGATTAATTTACACATGTCCCAAGTATGGAATTCCCATCATTTACCTTTAAGGATTCATACAATTTGCAGATTAATTATGCAAATTAGGTCCTTATTTGCATAATTGGTATCTGGTGATATTCCACCTGTCATAGATTATAAATATTACATATACCAAAGTCCCATGATGTAAAACACTGGAGTTACAGAATTTCCTCATTAATCATGCAAATAATCATCCAATTAATTGGGCCAATTTCTACTATTTTTATTAAGTAAAATTGTTGATGTGCTGATCTGTACCAGTTGAATGCCCATTGCTAGTGTAGTTACACATTAGAAAACTTCAAGTTGCACAAATGTCTTGTAAATTTGCAGTTTTGATGTCTTTGTAATTTGTAATTATCTGACACCTTGGGTCCCCTTTTTTCAGTTCCTCCCAAAATAGCTATCAGTGAGGAAACAACCAATGTAGTTTCCTTGTTGGGGAGTCAACTGGAGCTGCACTGCAATGCCTCAGGAGACCCTCCCCCCACCACTAGTTGGCTGAAGGAGGGATTGCTCATCACAGCTGACACCCCTGGGGTTGAAATCCTGGGCAACAAGCTCACAATCCTGGGTGCAAATCTGAAGGACAGCGGCAGTTACACCTGTGTTGCAAACAATGCTGCTGGAGAAGATGACCACAATTTTGATGTACAGATACAAGGCAAGGCCATTACCAAGAACATTTAATTACACATAGAATCTACATGTAAGTTAATAATGTAATGACTTACATTCATTAGACTTGTTGGTCTGAAGGATCTTAGATTATGTTATGTTGCATTAAAAGCTGATTTACTACATTGACATTCACAAGTCAAACTTTAAGAATTGTGTTTAATGTTACTATATAGGAATAAAATATGTCTTGATAGATATAAGCAAGTTACATTCGGGTTTGTTATCATCTTAAAGTTTGTTATTAATTGCATAAACTGGGGGTGTAATTATTTGCCAAAAAAGAATTTGTACAATAATGACAAGGACCCTTATTTGCCCATAGTTTTTTTATAGAGGAAGCAGCAGTATAATCTAACCCTGGATAGTGAGTGTGTGTGAGTGAGAGGAAGATAACTAAGAGAACAGATCACAATGTCTTGAACTTCAAATGGTTGTTTCATTATGTAGTTGTCCCAGAAATCAAAGGCGAAGCATCAACGGATGTGCGTACTGTGGTGGGGAACTCTGTTACTCTGCTCTGTGAGGCTGATGGCCAACCACCACCATCTCTGCTATGGTTGAAGGATGGTCAGACCTTACCACAGATCTCCAGATTAAGGGTTCTCAGCGATGGTCGGAAGCTGAGAATATTAAGTGTCCAGAAAGCAGACAGTGGACTCTACACCTGCATTGCCAGCAATGTGGTTGGAGAAAATCAGAAGAACTTTATCTTGACTTCTCTCGGTAAGGAATACACGTATTCTCAGATAACCTCTTGAGAACCAAATGGAACCAAAATACAACTTTTTCTAATAAGGCCTCACTAATTTAATTAACTGGTTCCCAGATGTGCCAAGTTTGTTTGTCATTTTCCTCACCAATTTAACTGGTTCCCAGATTTGCCAGCTATTAACCTGGCAAATATGTTTCATTCATGGTGTGATGAATCCATAATTAAAATTATGGATTCACCACACCACGAATGGAATATATTGTGTTCTCTCATGTTTCTTCTTCTTCTCCTCCTGCCATTTCTTTAAATGGATTCAACTCTGACATTTTTCAGCCAAGTGACCAGAAATTTGGCATGGAGGCAGAGTGGGCAAATACCCTTTTTTCATTATTTGGATACAGGCTTTTAAAAATTTGTGTTTTTTGTCATTTTCCAACAAAATCTGTACATTCGTGGCCCTGGAAAACTGGTATTACACCCAAACGATGTGAAATCTGTACCAACAACAGTCCATTGTAAGTGTTGGCATTCACCCCTTTAAAATTCATGTATGTGTGTACTTTTGGACTGTTTTCAGGTCAACATTGTTACATGTGTAAGTTACTTACAGGTTAACATCACTATGCATATATTATGTTATAAATTAAACTGTTAATTACGACCTTACTTCCATATACAATGAGACAAATCTCCCCAATAACAATGTTACATAAACAACATTTCAGGGAGGTATGAGATCTCCGAATTCTTGTTGTTAAAGTTTTTCTTTCAATGTTACAATGCAACTTCATTTCATCAAAAGTTTTAAAATCTATTGTTTTAATTATACATGTAAACAAATCTGGTATGTTGACTTCATGGCTCATATTGTAACATTTCCGGCCTTCATGGGGTGCCTTGGCCTGTTTTTAATTTGTTTATTTTGCCCTGTCACTTCATATTTTTTCTAAAAAAATCTGAGAAACAACAAATTAAATTGTTGTGGCCTTACGACCTTATTTCCATAATCAATGAGACTGAGTATTCAAGCGTGTGGCATATGTAATTGAGAACAAGAGAAACAGAGACAGATATTGATTATGTAAATTAAGAATTGCATTATTAATGAGAAACTGGTGTAATTCACCAATGGTAATGGCCTGGAATTTCATACTTAGGTATTTGAAAGTTAAGTGAAGGTGAACATCATAAAACGTAACTTATTCAAATAAGGATCATTTGCATAATTTATGAGGAAATGCTACTCGTAAGAAAAGAATGACATTTTTGGTTAAGATAAGACTGTCTTTTGGTGGAGAATATGATCAACTGATATAATTCATGGAAATGAGGATCCTATGTGCATAATCTGGGGGAATAATGTATGATTTTTCAGTCATTAAGATTAACATCATTTGGTGAAGGTATGTGGTCATGGAACTCTATACTGTCATACCATGTTGCAGCACTACAGTACAATGTCCTGTCCCAAGGTTAATTATTTGGTTATAAATGGTTAATGAAGGTTTCTTTATGCTTACAGTACCACCAAGGCTACAAGATAAGGATGTACCCAAAGACATCACAATTATAGAAGGGGAGAGTGTGGAGCTCAACTGCAGGTCAGAAGGATCACCTCCTCCTGTGGTCACTTGGCAGAAAGATGACCAGAACATCCACCTGAGCATATCAAATGATGGACAAACTCTCATGCTGGAAAATGCCAGAGTGAAGGACTCAGGGGTGTACAGATGCCTGGTAGCAAATCCAGCAGGAAACACCACCAAAGTCTACAATATTTCAGTGCATGGTTCGTATACATTTTGCACAGTCAGTACACACATGTGATTAGATACAATGTAGAGTAAACATATAGTCACATCGAAATCAATTGTGATACAAAACATCTTGACATTACACATCTTTTTGATTTATAGTCCATAAATGGCATTGTTACCGTTTTCCAGTGCCTCCTGTCATTTCCATTGCGGAGTCCTTAGTGACAGTAGGAGTTGGAGAAGTAGCTCTACTGACCTGCCAGGCAGAAGGCGTACCTCATCCAACCATTACATGGCGCAAAGATGGGGTGTTCTTAACGAACAGGGACAGTGGAAAGTATCGGGTACTTCCCTCAGGATCTGTGCAGATCTCTTCGGCCAGTATACAGGATGCTGGTCTGTACACGTGCATGGCCTCTAATGAAGCTGGCACTGACCAGCAGAGGATTCAACTCTTTGTTCATGGTTAGATATTTTTGTCATTTTTTGTTAAAGTTAGAGTGGATTCATGTACATGTAGATGTACATTGTAATGCTAGATGACCTATATTTGTTGAGAAACACCAATCTGACAAAAGACTAAACTTCAGTTATCTTTGCGTTGTACAAACTTTCACTTTTTGTATTGGTTCTGCTCTGCAGTCACTGAAATGCTTGAGTTACATAAGAAGTAGTATACTTTCTGGCTGAAGTTGTGAAAAATATTTGGAATACGAAATTTACTGGTAGGCAGAGGATCCTTCTAAAAAAAATCCATGGCTGTAACAATGCCAGGATAAGATACAGTGATGATAATGATGACCAGGGTGACTCAAGAATTATAGAAGTTATCAAATTGTCATGAAATTTTGGTCTTGGTCATGACCTGTTAACGATTTATTAGGTTTTAATTCTCTGGCAGAGCTTCTTGTTTTGATACTGGATTCTGGACATTATTTTGGGGTAAGTCCACATAAAGAATTGATGTAAGGTTAGGTTTGGGCCCGCAAGCAGCTTTTTTTGAACTGCCAATGCCAATTTCGTCTGGGGCTAAAAGTCAGGTAACAGTTACATGTAACGTTACATGTAGGTCTTATTGAAGGACTTGCTTGAGGACTGGTTTCTGGAGCAAACATCGTGGTGTAGGGGGTCTAACTCTAAAGTGGTTGGGCTGAAACTTGTGAAAATTGATTCAGCAGCACATTGTATTTTAAACCCTATCACACTTTCAGGGACCATTGTGGTGGCATTCTTGGTACACTCTGGACATTCAGTGTTCATTTTTTACTACTAAAAGTAATACTTTTCATGCAAATAACACCAGTATGCATTGGCTATGACTATTTGCCTTTTTAATTAGCAAAGTCATGATCAGTGGCAACAAATATGGTGTACTTTTGCATAATAAGATCAGTAAAAAAATATTTCGGAACTTAGGGCACGTCCAAACTAGGGCACCCCCTGTTACAATACCGTTGCATTGCTTAGGCACAAGTGGAATGATGAAGTAGTCAACAGTTGACATTTGTTCCTTTTTTTCATCAGTGCAACCAACAATAGGACCCGGGGCTACCTCTGTCACTGCCTTGGTCAACTCTCCAGCATTACTATCCTGTGAAGTTACAGGTGTTCCTGCACCCACTGTCACATGGTACCATGAAGGTAACAATGGAATTGCAATGTACATATTTAGAGCTCATTATCAATGGTCTATCTTCAAAAGTCATGGGCTTTAAAAAAGTTTGGCAAAAAAATTTCCTTCATTATTGAATCTACATGGACATAAAGGTTGAACAAATGACTAAATATAGATAGAGTATGGTATGGCATTTCTTCACATTTTCTTCTTTTCCTGAATTGAATTTGGCATTCTATGTCATTAGTGTCGTTCAAGTACAAGTAACAAATAACTACAAGTAACAAATTGTTGTAAAATATTGATGTCTGAAGGATGACAGTTGATAAGACTCAATCCGATGTTCAAATGGTTTCAAGTTTTATTCATCTCTTTTTAAAGTGACATAGTCTCAGGTAGGAGTTATCTGTTCTGATTGTTTTCTTACGGAGTGCAGGGCATATTTTTCTGACATTTTGTGCTCCCCACGTTTTTCAACTTGTTTCCAGCTTCCTCCTCCTCCCTTTTGAATTAAGATTTATAATAATTGAAATTCCCACCCAACAAAGGCTTTTTAAAGTTCTTCAGCTAATTTTAATTTTAAGCACTTTCATCAGGCAGCGAGTGCACAGGTGGCAATTGTCATGTCACCCCTACTAATTTAAAATCTTCCTTGGTGAGGTTTCATATTGAAGCTATTGGCTCAAATTTCGAATTTATGTTCAACTTGACAATGCTAATTTCTTAAGCTTTACTGGTATTTGATAATGATTATTGATATTTCTCAGAGAATTTGTGTGTTATACTGTTATATATAAGTTTAAAAAACACACCTTGTATAATGGTAATGGCATGCCTCACCAGTGGGTTCATCAGTTGAACACCACCCATCATGGGGGATTTCGGCCCTTGGTTCAATATTCCCTTGGGGGAGGGAGGCCAGCAGTGTAAAAAACACCACCACCCACTGGTGAGCTGTCTTCTTCAGTCCTGGCGGTTGACTTTTTCAAAACAACATGCGATTCCTTGTGCAGCGTTCGAAGTTCGAACCAGAGTCAGTGTTCGAAACACCTGATGACTGGTGATAGGTGTATGCTAGAGTTCGCTTTGCTTCAGCCTTTCTTCTTGCATACAATGTATACTTATTCCAAATCCATCAGATCCTGTCTCTGCTGCTTCTGCTGCTGCTCTTGTTATTGACTTGATCTCTTCTGCTGAGGCCCATCTTCTTTAGCCATTTATGCGGCAACAAACCCTCTGCATCCTACTTCGAAAGGGTAGCACGATGTCCTCCAGTCTTTGTCCCTGCACGCTGCCACCAGTTCTGCATATTTTGTTTAACTTCCGTTTGTATGCTTCCTCTATATTGCCCCCCCCATGGCACTGAAAGTTCTCCAAACACCACATCTCTAGACCTTCCCTACCAGATTAAGGTATCAGGGCGCAACAGCGTAAGTGCAATCTCCTGTGAGAAACAGCCTTCCCATCCAGGTCAGCCTTTACTTTCCAGTCGTTTGCAGCTGAGAGGATACTAGGCTTACACTGTTACAATGTCTGTTGATAATGCCTCCCACTGCAGGTGCCCCGTTGGACTCTGATGAACTGAACTACCAGCTCCTGCCTTCTGGGTCTTTGCGCATCACAGCAGTGAAACTTTATGATCAGGGCATCTTCACATGTCAGGCCAGCAACACACAGGGGAGCTCTGAGAGAGACTTGCTGTTGCAGGTGCAAGGTTAGAGTATCTTTTAAATATGAGCTACAACATCTGTGTGTGAATATCATTGGAGGACCTTTCAAAAACAGTCACTGATTGAAGAATATTCTGCTAACTGTGTAGTTTTCCAGGTATGGTTGGGTTTTGTCTATGTTTATTTATTTATGAAGATTTACCACGTTTGTGGAAGGATTGACATAACAGGTGACTACCACCTTTTCAAAGATGTCACCCCCGAGACCAGACTGTAAGGTTCCCAACTATAATTTTTATATATTTTTATATAACTAAGACTCACCTCCTCAGCCAATCTGCCTGAGTTTTGGGCTGCCCTCCATTTGCTCACTGACAACCCTCCTTTTCTAAGTACTTGTAATTAATGATGGGAGACTACTGGTAGTTCTCATAGAAGCTTTGCAGAGCATGTCATTAAATGGAAAAAGCAATACATTGCATGGTTATCTAAGGTTTCAGCAAATAAAGGCAGAGAGAATGACATAGTGACTTGATGCAATTTCACCACTTTTACTCCTGATGAGACCTGTGAGATGAATGTGAGATTTACTGGACATGGCACTGCCTACAGAGCCCCCCACTATTGAGGAAGGTGGGACCGACAGTGTGGTAATGGTGGGAGAAGTCATCACTCTGGAATGCAAAGTGTCTGGAGTTCCCACTCCGACTGTGGATTGGCTGAAGGACGGATCTGTTGTTCCTATGACTGACAGAACAAGTTTAGTGTCTACAGGACTGCAAGTCAGTACAGCAATCCTGCAATTATAATGTGTTCACAGAACATTGTTTCAGCTACATTTTATGCATGCAGACAATTATAGCCACAATACATGGCATCTTTCACTACTGTAAGCATTACATTGCTAGATTTGTGCATGTGCAAATGATGGTCTTAAGGACCTTTGTACTTACCGGATATATTTTGGGACAAAGCATTTCAGAAGGATGGTATTCAGGTTATTTTTCCTATCTTAGGCCACACCAATTTGATTTCTTGGTTAACGGATTCGCCCGCTTCATTTTTTTCGGATTTGCAAATAAAAATAAAAATTCAGAATCAACTGCAAAATGCTCATATTTTGCCCTGAACAGTTGAAAGCAGTCCTTTTCATCCTAGTTGTTGAAGTTATTCTATCTTTCAATGCAATGGTATCATTAAAAGTTCAAAATTCATTGTTTAAATTTTGGACCAGCCTGGTGTGTTGACTTCATGGCTCCTATCGTACCATTTTGGACCATAATAGGATGCCTATAGGCCTGTTTTTATTTTTTTTTGCCCGCCCGCTCCATTATTTCTCTAGGAAAATCCGTTAACCGAGAAATTAAATTGGTGTGGCCTTAACTTTGTTTTATCATAACATAAGTGCTTGATAAATATAACAGTAACAATTTTTTTGGAAACATGTCTACATTGTACAACTCTTGCCAAGAAAGCTTTAATTACTGTTTTGTTTTAATCCTGTGTGGAAACTTTGTCTACCTTTTACATGTATGCCACAGATATCTGCTGCTGTTGTTAGGGATTCTGGGCAGTATTCATGTACAGCTACTAATGCAGCTGGGACAGCCACCAAACAAATACAGCTGAATGTACGGGGTAAGTCTGTATTTTTTGTCCTTGTATCAGAGCATATCATATCTCACTCATTCTGAAGCAAGGTTTGATAGTAAATCCCAACACTAGAAAAATGGACTCACCCAAATGTTTGACAGTCTTTTTCAAAGATAAATCAGTCCTTGATGACATGTATGTAACGGTACCCCTTTGATTTCAACTACACTGTTTTAATTTTATGGATGTGTGCATTGATTTTTGCCTGTCGTCAGACTCTGGCCTGGGTGTGACCCTCCGTAGTTCATAGTAACCAGCGATGATAGGAAGTGGGCTGTAACTGGTGAGGATGGCACCCAGGCTTCACGGAACACAAGAACTCTGTACACTGCCAACTCAGCAATGTCGCTAAAAGCATGACATTGTGTTTGTCGTAAAAGTCGCTATGTACTACTGCAAATTCATAATAACAGCTTCCTGTGTTTAAGCAGCATTTGGCAGGCTGTAACACACAAACTAGATTGGGGGTCTTTTTGTTTGTTTGTTTCGCATAACTGGTAAACCGCCTTTAGGCGTAACACAGTTTTGTACATGTACGTACAAGCTGCGTAATACCGGACTGTAATCTTTGAACCCACTCACACAGGCAAGTTCCCCTACTCTTTTCGATAAGTGTGGTGGGGTGTGGCTCTTCCCGAACATGGGACCTCCATTTAACGTCCTATCCGAGGGATGTCCCTAACTGAAGCTAGGTACTCATTTACACCTGAGTGAAGTGAGGAAAGTCGTGTAAAGTGCCTTTCCCAAGGGCACAAGATCAGTGACATGGGCAGGATTCGAACCCATGACCTCTTGGGTGTGAGCCAAACGCGCTACCGACTGTGCCACACGACCACACGTCTTCAGAGGATGTCATCCATAAAATTAAGTCAGTGTGGCCTTACATATCTGTAGATGGTGACAAGCTAATGTTGTCAACGTTAGAGGTAAACACATGCTAATAAAAACAACTCACTTTACACTTAGTACATGATCACAAGTAGTTTGTTGGAAGTCGTACAAATTTTCATATGCTACCTTCAGTGACATTACATTTTTGCTACCTTTCACAGATCCACCAAGAATCAATGATGAGGATCCTACAGACATTTCTGTAGTTGTGAACTCAGATGTCGTGCTGCCATGCAGAGTCATGGGAAGTCCTCATCCCAGGGTAACATGGCAGAAAAGAGGGCAGTTTCTCCACGATGACAACGGATTTACCCAGAGAGACGATCACTCACTAGAAATTAGAAGAATAAAGGTGGCAGACAGTGGGGTGTATAGCTGTGTTGCTCAGAATAATGCTGGTACAGCTGTACGAAAAGTAAAGGTATTTGTGCAAGGTAAGGATGAATGATTTTATAGTGAAGAATATAAAACTTCATTCCAGTTTTTGGCATACACCTCTTTTCAAATTGTATAAAGGCTGCTGACAATGCCAGACACCATATTAACAGCAATGTACGACTCAAAAGATCTATGCATTGTATATGTCACAGGGGAGATTGGAATCCAGGGGAATCCGGAATCCTCCTAGGGGAGATTGGAATTCCTATCTCCCCTAGGGGAGACTGGAATCATCCTAGGGGAATCTGGAATCCTCCTAGGAGAGATTGTAATCATGATATTCAGATCCCAATTCAGTAGTAGAAATACTAGAACTCATAGAATCATTTCACACCTAAACTTTCAATCAATTTCAGCATAGGCAAGCCTATTACTATTGTAGGTGAATTACTAGATTGGAATCAAAATTTGTCCCGGCATAATTTGCAGTTCTAATTCCATAATTGCAATCCTAACTTAGACCCAAATCTATTTCCAATTAGCAAAATAATGTGAAAACAAATTGGCAAAATAAAGAAAACAACAATATTCTTACAAACCATGGTTTTATTTAGAATTTACACATACAGACTTGGCATCTTAAATTCTATACCTAAGATTCTATACCAAAGCTTTATATACCAAGACTCTAACACACTGGAAAAACAAATTTTTTAGTAACTATCTCACAATGGCCTGATGCAAATATCTGAGTCTGATTTACATATTCACTTACCTATGCTGGAATTGATTGAAAGTTTGGGTGTGAAATAACTCTATTTTCCCAAGCATTTTGATGCAATCAGAATTTCTCCTTTTTAGATTGGAGATTGTCCTGTAAGAATTCCCACTTGTCCTAGGACAAATTGGAATTCCTATCTTCTCTAGGAGAATCTGGAATTCTCCTAGAAGAGATTGGAATTCCAATCTCCCCTAGGAGGATTCTGGATTCCCCTGGATTCCAATCTCCCCTGTGACATACATCAAATACATGTACATGTATACATGTACATGTAACTAGTTACATGACTGTCAACACACAGCTGGGAAGTTTTTGACACCTGCATAATGGGCAGAAGTTATTTTTGAAATGTTCCACCTTTGCAAAGGGGATTTTTGAACAGTCAATTTTGCATGGGGAGGAAGGTGCAAAATACATGGCTGAATTTGGTTGCAAGCGTCAATCTTTCTAATGTAAGAAATATTATTCTTGTTGAATGAGAACACAACTTCTTTCTCACATTAATTTTTGTTAATTATGTCTACACCAAATTTAATGTTTTTGTTGATTGTGTTCTCAGTTTTAACTGTATACATCTTTAGACATATACATGTATGTAACTGAAGTCTAATCTTCCACAGTGCCACCTGTCATAGAGGATGGCCCCAGGACTATCATTACCAAGCAGGGCCTGTCGGTGACCTTACCTTGTTTGTCCAGTGGCAGACCACGTCCATCTATCAACTGGGAGTTCAATGGGAAACCTATTGTCAGCACAGATTTCCAGCACCAGGTGTAAAATCAAACAAGAATTTGACGATCTCATACCTCCATGAAATATGTAGAATTTATGTAAATGATTTTTTCGGGATTTGTCTGAATATGGAAACAAGAAGCCATAGGCGACAATCCTCCGTGAAGTTTTATATATTTCAACAAAATCCCTAGCGTCAATGCCAGACCTACTGTGCAGACATTATAATTAGGCAACGGTTAATACAATGAGGGCGCGTCACAAGCATAAAACATACAAAGAGCTAAATCCATTACTGCTCCCAGGGCGTGTAAAGATACTGTGCTTCAAGTTCGAAGTTCATTTTAATTACACACACACAATCATTGCATTCGCATAAAGATCGGACTATCATGGTCGTGTCTAGTAACAAAGACAGCCCCACCGTCTTACCGTGCCTGTACCTAATTAAGCGCGCCTGGAACAGGCCAAATTCCAGCAACAGTTGTGGTAAGCACCGCGAGTGTTACTACCGCCGGCCAGATAACCAGGATATCTGCTTAGAGTACCTCTGCTACCAGACAACTGCCTAAACCTACGGCCTATTCCACAGGATTGTAAAAGTAGGGATGTTTCTAAAATATGCATTTACTTCAATATCAAAACAGCTACGGTAAAAATAAAAAGACGTGCATCATCCCGGACATAATGCCACACCACATGCGAAATTACACAGAAATGCGACGTACGGAAGAATGCGTTTTGGCTGCGAACATCTTCCAAAAAACTTGGCATCTCTTAAGCATGGGCAAAAACATCTGGAACCACTTATCAAAACCACCCAGTATCTGCATGAAGCTCCACCCCCCCCCACTGCTATTCCAAACAACGCGTTTTTCTGGACCATTCCAATTCGCCTCGTAATTGTAGGGGTGCGTCTGCAATATTACATTGACCGCGAAAGCAGCAACGGCAAAAATACACATTCGTGCATCAACACGGGCATGCCCGCAGACGGCGTATAAAATTGCGTGCCGATTACACAAAGAGAACCCAGTGTTTTGACTGCGAACATGAAAAATCAGCCGATCACAACACTCCGTCCGGAGGTCCTGACCTCATTCACGGAGTAATAAGGTTGCAATTGACATAATCTAGTTTAATTTATGGTTTTCTAAACTCAAATTACAATATTTTGCGTGTGAAACGCCTATCCTTGAGCAATATTTCCTGTCAGACATGTCCTCATTAATTATGCAAATTACCCTTGTATTAATATAAAATATGCATAGTGTTGTTAACATTTAAGTAACTTACTCATGTTACAAGGTATAAAATTCCAATCATTCACCATTAACAACAACTTAAATCCCAGAATTTTCACATTAATTATGCAAATTAGGTCATTATTTGCATAATTGGTATCTGTTGATGTTCAACCTGCCATAGATTACATATATTAAATGTATGACAGTACTATCATGTAAAACACTGTAAATAATTACAGAATTTCCTCCTTATTTATGCAAATTTATTCATGATTTACATAATTTGATTGTACATCTCTCTCTAAGCTACCTACATACCAAAAATGATGAAAACACGGTGCTCCTTTTCGGTTTCTGGATCTTTTTGCAAGGCAGGGAAAACAGATGTGCGGTGTTATGCAACAACACACCAGCAAAACACGTGTGGAGGCAGCGCGCCTACCCGGTTTGATTAATGAGGTTCTCCCTTTGGAATAGGCTACATGTACTGAGTTGACCATATCTATTACAGCCTGACCTATTTCAGGCCAAAAGTGCTACTGTATTAGCTTTTTGTTAAAAAAAAAACTGATTTTGTTAAAAAAAAAACTGATTTTGTTCTGTACCGTAGTGTACTGTGTAAAAACATGTACAAAAACTAGAGTCCCACGATCTCATACCTTCGCCAAATGATGTTAATCAGATTATTCCTCCTGATTATGCAAATAGGATCCTCATTTGCATGAATTATATCAGTTGATTTACTTGATTATATTCTCCATCAAAAGACAGCCTTATCTTAACAAAGAAAGCCATTCTATCATTTCCTCATAAATTATGCAAATAAGGTCCTTATTTGAATAAGTTATGTTTAATGATGTTCACCTTTACTTAACTTTCAAATACCCCAAGTATGAAATTCCAGGCAGTTACTATTATGGAATTATAACATTTTCTCATTAATTATGCAAATTAAGTGTTAATTTACATAATCAATATCTGCCTGTGTTTCTCTTGTTCTCAATTACATATGTCACAAGCTTGAATAGTCCTATAATGTAATGCAGCTGATTTATAGAATTTCCTCATTAATTATGCAAATTACATCCATATTTGCATAATTGTCACATAATTATGTCAAGCGTAACTTAAGCTACCTACATACCAAAAATCATGAAGATCCGTCCACCGGTTCTTGAGTTATCCTCTTATGAATATTTTCAAAGAAATGCCCCTGCAGTTCCTGAGCAAGCCGCTAGGGGGCCCAAACCTATGTCACTTCTTCCCCAGCACAAGACTTACCTACCATCCAAATTTCGTGACCCTAGCATGTCCAGATCACGATATATCAAAACCGGAAGTTCAGCTGCAGTACCATAAGAAGCCGCTAGGGGGCCCAAAATCTAATCATTTCGAGGTCTCATCAAGACCTACCCACCTACCAAATATGAAGTCAACGCATTTAAGCCTTCTCAAGTTATCGTGTTTACAGACAGACAGACACACACACACACGAACGCCTATGAAAACATAACCTTCTTGGCGAAGGTAAAAACTCATATATTTCATGGAGGTTTGAGATCTCCGAATTCTTGTTCCTGACATGAAAAGCTATCTGTCACCAAAAAATCCATGCAAAACCATAGCATGTTCAGGACAAAAGATAATAATACTGGTTTATTGTTCTTTGTGCACTTGTTACATCTCGCAGGGCATGGGCCCTGAATTGGTTGCAACTACAGAATGTGCTAATTAGTTAAAACACAATTACCCGTGTCCAAAATACTAGTAACAAATATACAAAGTGGTCACCGCCGGACGGTACTCACGACAGCGCACCAGGGGAATTACTGATTTACACATTAAAATTTCTATTTACACATACAATGGTTAATGCAACATGACTCATTAAAAATATTTTTAGAGCGTAATAATGCATATATTGTATAAAAGCTACATATACCTACAAACATGCAAATTGCTACTAACAATTAGTAAAAAAGAAACTATTGGAAACTATTGTGTTTAGCAGTCGTACCAAGTTAGGAATGCAGCTATTGCAGAATCTTTCAGTCTTTGTGAGGATTGTATCCAGATTAGTAGAAGTTCTGGTGTGACGTGAGCTGACTTCCCCGCGGTATGGAGGTAGCCAAAGATAAAAAAAACGGTAGTTCTGCTGCAGTACCAAGGTCAGCCAGCAGGAGGCCCATATCTGACCTTGACAGTTGTCTTCCAATGACCTACAGTACCAACATACCAAATATCATAACAATCCATAAAAGCGTTCTGAAGTTATGCTGACTACAAATGTGCGGAAACACACACACACAGACAGACACACTCACACACACACAGAAACACAGACACACCAAAAACAATACCTCCATTTTTCATGGAGGAAATGAGATGTAGTTGCTGTCAATATAGGTGCCCCAACTATAATCTTCAGTCCCAACAATGGCATGGCAATATCCAATCGGGCAAGCAGTGTCCAGGTAGCTAAAGGATACTGCTTGGCTGATATTTGGATACTTATAATATGATAACTTTCTTATAATATGATAACTTAATTGCACAGCAGTTGTACAGGGTACAAAGTATAGCAACTACTAAATACATATTGACTACACTTGTGGGGTTGTGTGGTGCAGTCAGTAGGGCGTTCGGCTCACACCCAAGAGGTCGCTGGTTCGAATCCTACCCATGTCACCGATCTTGTGCCCTTTGGAAAGGCACTTAACATGACTTTCCTCACTTCACTCAGGTGGAAATGAGTACATGTACCTAGCTTCAGTTAGGGACGTCCCTCGGATAGGATGTTAAATGGAGTTCCTGTGTTTTGGGAGAGCCACATCCCATGCAGGTCAAAGAACCCACCGCACTTATCGAAAATAGTAGGGGACCTTCCCGGTGTGAGTGGTTCAAACTTTACAGTCCGGTCTTACGCAGCTTGTACATGTACGTACATGTACAAAACTGGTTTACCGGTTATGCCAAACAAACAAACAAAAACATTTTCATAGGCTTAACCTAAGGCCACACCAATTTGACCCTGTTCATACCAGACTTACATTTAGCGGTTTCAACCGGTTTTTCAAAAACCCGGCTAAAACCCTTAGCGTTCATACCAGACTTTTGATAACCGGTTTTGAAAAAATCCTGTCCGGTGAATATCCAATCGGCCATGACTGCAGTTTGATAACCATTCCTCCCGCTCTTCCGATTGTTGTCCTTGGCCTTCTTACTTGTATGCCGTCTTCAGTTGTTTTTTGTTTTACCTTACTGCGGCACTGATCCTTTATTTTCAAGAAATCAGCCTCCTCCAACATTTTTGTTTCGGTAGAGCCCTCGCCGCCCCCCCCCCGCTTCTTTCGAATTTGGCGACTCCTGCTCTCCAAACCTAAGTATAAGGAGCGTCTCGTCCGCCGACCAGGTTGCATATGCTGATTCCATCGCAGAATGAAGAGGAACCATGGAAAAACAGTGGAAACGAACTCAAATTGGTCAAAACAACGCGATCAAAAAAGCTTGCAGGTCGCACACGGTCAGGATGCTGACCCCGCGTGACCCCGGAATTACGACGCAAAAACCGGTTCAATAAACCCTTAGCGTTCAGACCAGGTTTTTCGGTGGAAAAACCCCACAAAAACCCCTCAAAAACCACCTCCCGAGGTGGTTTTTCAAAATCGGATTTAAACCCCTAAAAAACCGGTTAATTTGCGTTCACACCAGGTTAAATAAGAACCGGTTTTTGAAAATATAAGTCTGGTATGAACAGGGTCTTTAATTTGTTGGTTCTCGGATTCGCCTCTTTGTTTTTTTCTGATTTGCAAAAAAAAAAAATTTGATTCTGGTCCTGAATCAACTGAAAAATGCTCATATTTTGCCCCCAACAGTTGAGGAAAGTCCTTTTCTTCCTAGTTGTTACAGTTTTCCCATCTATCAATGCAGTGGTTTGATTAAAAGTTCAAAATTCAATGTTTAAATTTTAACCCAGCCTATTGTGTTGACTTCATAGCTCATTCCGTAGCATTTAAGCCTATAATAGGATGCCTAGACCTGTTTTATTTTTATTTTTTTTCGCCCTGTCGCTTCATATTTTTTCTGAAAAAATCCGAGAACCAACAAATTAAATTGGTGTGGCCTAACTAATAAAAAAAAAGTACTGACTAACATCCGTAGGATCTGCTTGGACATTCCAATACACAAGGCAAGATAATTGGAAAGTTTCACACATCACTCTAATAAAAATACCCAAAAGTAACTTGTTTTTGTCCATGACTGTAGATGCTGTTTTCTGGTGGACTTCAGATACCCATTGCCCAACTGGAGCACACAGGCACATATGCTTGTAAAGTAACCAATGAAGCTGGGTCTTCATCTCGGACCATTACCTTGGAGGTGCAGGGTAAGAACATTCATGTACACATAGTTCTCCACTCTATAGAAGCAGGTATTTTTTCTGATAATATTTTTGGGGATACAAAGGCACCCGACTTTTGGCTAACTTACCTGAGCTGCCTTTTTAACAATAATCCTTTTCTAAATCTATGTACCCCCATACAGATCCGCTTCTAATGTACAGTGCTGTATACGCCTACGTTAGCCTGTATGGTCAACTTTGGGCATGATTTCTAGTGCAACAGTAGCATTCAAGTGACTATTGCACATTTAGGAATGTCCACAAAACATTGAAAACCTAAGCCCGTCTTGGGATACAGAGATTTGGGCACTTTTTGTCGAACGACTATTTACCCTCCTCATCAACACACAGTGCGCATTGAACTCTGGGATTGCCGGATTCGATCGCTATAATGTTCATCCTGTACAAAATGTATTCAGGCTTTGATTTGTAAATAAGACAAAACAGTGGATTCCAGCATAACAGTTTATTCTCTGATGAATCATAATACCTGCTTCTGCAGTAGACAGCTCCTTTAAGGAGAGAATGTGTATGCAGTCACACAACTGCCATGTACGTAAGAAATAACAAGCCATGTACTAAATCGAAGGCCTTTTGAACACTTTTTATTACTCCGAGAATACCATGTTCTTTCTATGCAATCCTTTACCTCCAGGTAGTTCCATGATCATATTTGGAACACAGTGAAATTAGCAAAATGATGGTGCCGTACTAAAGAAAATTTTCAACGAATTTCAAATTGCTCTAGATTATGTTCTCAATGACTTGTGAGTCCGAATCGTTGAATCTTCAACTATACGTCTTGTAAAAATCTGCTTGGTTTGAAATCTGGAAAGGTTTGTAAGTTTATGCTGAACGGAGTCACCCTTTTGTGACCAAACGGTGAAATTGTCATTCATGGTAAATCATGTACTCTCTTTTAGCCTGGGTGCCATCCTCCATAGCTACTGCCGGCTCCCTATTGTTGCTGGTTACCCCTGAACATTTTGTACACTGGCATTGGTTCAAAGTGCAGATATTACTGATTATGTTGTCTTTTACAGCACCTCCAGTGATCGCACCAGTCCAGACCCAGAGAACAGTTGTGGAAGGCCAAGATGTATCCTTACCATGTGAGGCAGAAGGAACTCCTGTTCCAGCCATAACATGGTTGAAGGACCAACAGGTTTTAAATTTGCAGACTTCAAGGATACAGGTCAGCCCTGGCCAGCTTACCATCAAAGAAGCACAGGTATACAACATAAATGAGACTAGATAAGTTTGTAACTTTATGGGTATCATCGATCTAGAATCTGGGAAACGTGATGACGTCAGGAGTGCATCAAAAGTGGCGGGAAGACGGTATCTACACGGAGCAGGATTACTTTGTGAGAGGCGTGAAGGAGGCAGTTTACATCAGGGCCCACCAACCCTCTCTGAACCGTGATGGTGGGAGATACCGTCTTCCCGCCACTTTTGATGCACTCCTGACGTCATCATGTTTCCGACTTCCGGAAAGTCAGCGACTGCATCACAAATCTGACGAAGGTTGACGGGATAAGCCGAAAATTTATGGTGAGTTCCCTTTTTGTGTTGGAACAAGTCAAACTCTTTAACTATAGATTCTACCAACACAGATGAGCTTTCATTCGAATAGGATCTAGAATCTGTTTAATTGACTGAATATGGCATGAAGAAATCCAGTTTTCCCTTTTGACAAGGTAAGTAGACCATTCTACATTTTATCTTGAAAGTTCATCTGTGTTGGTAGAAGTCATTATGCAGCAAGTTTAAACTGTAATTTCCAACACAAAAAATTGGACTCAAATTTTTGACTGTACAACTCCAGTCTTTGTCAAGGAATGACCATTCTACATTGGTGATGGTGAGACACAAAAGGTAGTGGATGCTACAAATGTATCTGAAACATCTGACCGTTTCGAAAATCATATCCAGTTGCTTTAGTAACTGTCTTGTGGCATAAGTAGATCATGATTTTAAAACCTTGGATAGTTTGATCATTATGTTGAGGGCAAGCATTTGATTTTAGACGATCTACAGTCAAACCTGCCCAGGCGACCACCTTTTCAACCCGCGATTGTGGACATTTCTCAGTCTCAAAAGTTTTCCCCATTGACGCAAGCATTAAGCGAACTGCCCAGGGCAGCTACCTGGCCAACGTGGCCACAACCACCAAGACTTGGGTCCACCCATGGCCCAAACCCTTCCCATGGCGACCAGTCGACGGGGTCATAATTGTGTAAATTTTTCAGTCAGTGGTGGCATTGATTCTCAAATGGACCAGTTTGCCTTGGGTTTTGACTGCCGCACAATGTTTTATCTAAAGACAAAGATGGCAGCAACTGGGTCATTTGGGTTAATGGATATGGGTGGGAATGACAGCGCAGTGTAATTGTTCTCTTTTCAGGTTTCGCCCATTTGTCATCACTGAAATAATTTCCTGCCTGATTATTATAGCGGGTTTTCGGAACGATCAAAGTTGCTGACCTTCCCGCCAGCATGCATATGCAAGCAACTGGTTGAGCAGAATTTGTTCTATTAGGCCACACCAATTTAATTTGTTGGTTCTCGGATTTTTTCAGAAAAAATATGAAGCGACAGGGCGAAAAAAAATAAAAATAAAAACAGGTCTAGGCATCCTATTATAGGCTTAAATGCTACGGAATGAGCTATGAAGTCAACACAAAAGGCTGGGTTAAAATTTAAACATTGAATTTTGAACTTTTAATCAAACCACTGCATTGTTAGATGGGAAAACTGTAACAACTAGGAAGAAAAGGACTTTCCTTAACTGTTGGGGGCAAAATATGAGCATTTTTCAGTTGATTCAGGACCAGAATCAAATTTTTTTTTTTTTGCAAATCAGAAAAAAACGAAGAGGCGAATCCGAGAACCAACAAATTAAATTGGTGTGGCCTTAAGACGGGAATGTCAGGCTTACATGTAAGGAGTTCAGGTGGTATCCCATCACTCCCACGAGCCTTGCCACATTTCATGACCTTTGCATTATGACCAATACTGTTAGTGACTGGTATGTAACCAGATTTCTTTGATTGCAGAGAGATGATGGTGGTGAATATATCTGTTCAGCTATTAATGCTGCAGGGGAGGACTCACACTCTTTCACACTACTTATTTTTGGTGAGTATATAAAAACTATATATCTTTGATGTTGTTATCATTGGGCGTTCTTATTTTGCTTGAGAGATTTGAATCTCAGACAAACTTGGAGGATTAAGTTTTAACTTTTGTAACTTGAGTAACAACTTCTGCAAAAACCTGAACACCCTGGAAGAATGGAAAATCAAATGGCTCATGCAGTTTAATCCAGAAGAATGCTACTTTATGCATATATATTATTATACATAATCATACAATATACATATTATACATATAAACAAATGAACCCAACATGCAACTACCAGTTTTGTGGGTAGGCTGTAGAACCACAAAAACCCACCTGTATCCGGGCGTCACATTGACCAGCAATATCACAACTAAGGCTAAACACTAGTAAACAGACATTGGGAGTGATCAAATGTATCCTGTAGGCATGCCCAACTCAAGTAAAATCACTTGCATACATGTACACATTCGCTTTTTAAGACTGAACCTACAATGTGCCGTGACGGTATGGGATCCATAGTACAAAGATAGAGATAAAGAGGAAAGGGTACAGAATCAAGCTGCAAGAATTAACCAAAACCTACAGTGAGTGTCACTTGAAGACAGACAAAAATGTCCAGACTATGCATAATGTACATGTACAAAATGACTAATAAACTGGTGGACATACCAACTACTATATAATAAGTACCTAATAGCAGCTCAGAAAAAAAACAAGAAATAGTCATGCCTACAAGTACCAGAGTTATCAACCAAGGATTAAGATCATTCTTTTCTAGAACTATCGCAGAGTGGAACTCTCTGTCACCAAGTGAAGTAGGGGCATTATCATGAGATTGCTTTAAACAATGTTTAGAGTTAGATGTTCAGGAGTTAGGTGTAACAAGTTGCCTCGCTGCTTGTGTGTGAAGCTGGTGTGTTACACCGAAGGGCAGTTATACCAGCTAGACCAATACAGATACAGATAATAGGTGTGATAATATATATATATATTATGATGCTAATGATAAAATGATAAAATGACATTATTGTCTTCGTCAGAAGGACTATGAAATTGTCTCGCCGGTGTGTGGGGAACTGCGGATTTTGCGATATAACTCTGGAAGGCATGATTCGACGTCCATGATTTTTGGCAGGCATATTACCGCTGTTGAGGCCAAAGTCAAGTACAAGTTTCGGCTTCGTGGGGGGTCCGTGCGTCACGTTAGTGCACCTTTTGTGTTTGTGGCTTGTTAGCAAGATAACTCAAGTATTTGTAAAATGTTGATTATAATTCTTGGTGTGGTGCTTACTATTGTCGGGACCAAGGTTAAGTTCGTTACTGAGCTTCGTGGGGGGTTTCGTTGTGACTACAGGGGGCATTTTGTTAATTTTTCTTGTGAGCAGGATAACTTTTGTATGTGTGGATGGAAGTTAATGAAATTTGATAGGCATATTACTGTCGTGGTCTCCAAGATTGAGTTCAAAGATGAGAGTCGTGGAGGTTGTTATGTCCCCGTAATAGGACCTTTTGTGTTTAGAAATCCCCCACCTACATCTGCTTGGAGACAGCCGACAGCTGGATATAGCCGGGGAACCCCATAATGGGATGGGATCAAATGACGTTACATTGAGGGATTGTACTATAACTTCAGCAGGGGGAGGATAGGTTGGACATATGTCAGGTTATTTTCTACGGCCACACCAAGTAATTGCTATGGATGACGTCCACTGGAGACCTTAAATCTAATTACCTTAAATTTAAGGAAAGCGCGCAATAAAAACACGAAGGGCCGAAAAACGAGATGCCTAGATTTGGAATATACTAACTGTAGAAGTACAAATGTTAGAACACAAAGAACACAAGAAACAAGTCTTCTATTTGTCATAAAGACAAATTAACAAAACTGCAGTAGTCACCCTGTTCTGATTCTTTCCTTTATAACATCTTCTCATATTATATTTTGCGGCGCTGTCGTGACACTTTCAACACAGTAAGAATTTCTTGAACGTTTTTTTTTCCAGTAACAGTCCAAACTCAAATAACGTAGGGGTGGCGGGGGCTAACACGGGTGACGACGCATCTGTATAATCTGCGGCAAACCGTTTCATGGTGTTCTGTACCATAAAAATGATACAGAGATTCTTTTGTTCTTTAGACCAAATTGATTATTAAAAAGAGTGAAGAATACGCATGTTAATTTCTCTAGAACGATGTACCTCTGACGAAGACATGAGATCTCCGACCTCTAGTTTTTATTATGTTTCACTCCAAAAGGAATGTCACTGAAGCATTTCTTACTCAAGTATGTTCTTAATAAGATAGATGTGCCAAAATATGAAAGTCATCAAACCTGACCATTTTCTGACAACTAGCAGTGCAGCATTGCGTGTTCAAGTGCTTGAAAAAAGCATTGACTTCCAAGTCAGAGCATTCCCCATCCAAATAAGCGCATCCCCCTTTTTTGTCACTATTTAGGCCACTCCGACTTAATTTTATGGATGACATCCTCTGAAGATCTCCAAACTAGTACCGCGGGCTAAAAAAATATTCCAACCAAAAATAAAAATGCTTCTAAACTACAGGAATACAAAGCTGGTATTGTGCATTTGCGGCAGTACTTAGCGACGTATACGACAAGCCGGCACATGCTGGCTTTCTGTGGAATTTGTGAATCGGCACTGTACATATGTAGTTCATGAGTCATGGAGCTTCGGTAGCCTGGGTGCCCGGCTCCGTATTGTCGCTAACTACCATGGACTACCCGGGCCTAGAGCCGGGCCAGAGCCTCGGTGGACGTGATTTTTTTTTTTTTTTGTTAGAACAGGCGAAAATCAATGCGCGGGCAGATGTCATCCATAAAATCATGTCAATTTGGCCTTACTGACCACCAGTAAAACGCCCATTTATATTAACATCTGTGTCCATAATATCACCAGGGTCCATAATAACGCCACCTTTTCACCTTAACATTTTCAAGGTTAAATAAAGGTTGAAAAAAAAAAAAAAAACCTTGAGAAAAGGTGTGCTTAAAGATATTTTTACTGCAACATACAAATGTACCCTAGGTATGTACATTTGATGTGTGAAGGAGTGCATACCAAAAGTATGTTGCAGTAAAAATATCGGGTTAATGGAAAAAGGAGTCCAGTCCGATTAGCGGAAAAAGCAGTCCAGTCCGATTTTGGGGTGGAAAAAGCAGTCCGGTGGTTTCTACCAAATTTTACGAAAGACCATAGGCACAATATTTTCTTGTGTGTGTACTTCGAGTTTCTATGAGTACTTCGAGTTTCTATGGGTACTTAGAGTTTCTATGACTATTTAGAGTTTGTATGGGAACTTGAATTAGCATATATGTGACTCACTATATGCCGCCTTAACCCATAATTCAGGCAGCCTTGGGTGAGGAATAGCGGACAACTGATTTAAACCTCTTGGGACCACCGAAAAGTAGTTTCTATACATACAGGTCACCTATCCACAATAAACAAAAATTAATTATTAAGGGATTCTTTCTTACAATTGTACTTCTGGTACTTACATGCTTGTCGGTGTAATGCAAAGTCTGCCATACGTGGCTTTAGCAGGGGCCGGCTGGATGTTGGGCAGCTGGCAACCGTAAAGCGATTTAATCAGGCTACTTGCAAGCAGGATCGGCCCTGGAAATCTCGTCAGTTGACCGCTTCATCTTTTGACTGATTATTATTACTTATATGTAAGTAATAATCCGGAGGCATGATGATGATGATGATATGTAAGTTACAGACCATAAGTTCCCATGCAAACTCTAAGTACTCATAGAAACTCTAATTTCCCATACAAACTCTAAGTACTCATAGAAACTCTAAGTACCCATAGAAACTCGAAGTACTCATAGAAACTTGAAGTACCCAAAGAAACTAGAAGTACACACACAAGAAAAAATTGTGCCTATGGTCTTTCGTAAAATTTCGTACAAACCACCGGACTGCTTTTCCACCCCAAAATCGGAGTGGACTGCTTTTTCCACCCCAAAATCGGACTGGACTCCTTTTTCCATAAACCCTCCCGTGCTCTTGCCCGAGCGTAGGGTGGTGCCCATCTCCATTTCTCAGCCCTTGGGCGACACACAATTGTGCAATGCACTACAGCAGGGGGCTAGTCCGCTGGTAGTGCTGTGTGTTTGACCTTCAAACACACTCTTTCTCATAGAGACTGCTTTTTCCACCCCAAAATCGGACTGGACTGCTTTTTCCGCCCATCGGACTGGACTCCTTTTTTCATTAACCCAAAAATATCTTTTAACTAGAATTCCGAGATCTCATACCTCCATGAAATATGATCTTGATATGTAAATGTAAATTTCTTCTTTAATTGTTCAAATGACCTCTGCATTAACATGATATATGCATCGTGATGTATGTTAACTTTTGATTAACTTACAGATGTCCCAAGTATGACATTCTCATCATTCACCATTACGAAATCATAGAATTTTCACATTAATTATGCAAATTAGGTCATCATTTGCATAATTAGTATCTGTTAAAGTTCCGCCTGCCCTAGGTTACATAGTATAATGTAAAACACTGTAATTATAGAATTTCCTCATTAATTATGCAAATAAAGTCCTCATTTGCATAATTTACATTTAATTATGTACATCTCTCTCTCAGCTACCTACACACCAAAAATAATGAAAATATGTTGTTCCTGTCTGGACTTATTGGCTTTTAAACATTTCGCCAGAAAGTGCCCTGCAGTTCCAGAACAAGCCGCTAGGGGGCCCAAACTCATATGACTTCTTCCCAAGCACGAGAGCTACCTTCCATCAAAATTTCATGACCCTAGCATGTCCAGATCGCGAGATATCAAAACCGGAAGTTGCGCTGCAGTACCAAGGGAAGCCACTAGGGGGACCAAAATCTCATCATTTCCAGTTTTCGTCACACCCTACCAACACACCAAGTATGAAACCAATCCATCCAGGCGTTCTTGAGTTATCTTGTTGACCAACAGACAGACAGAAGGAAGGACGGATAAACGCAACTGAAAATATAACCTCCATGACACATTTCATGGAGGTAATCACACTGTTTCTCAAGGTGGCGATATTATGGACTCTGGTGATATTATGGACACGGATGTTACATGTACATGTACAAGTTATGCAAGACCATTTTGGGGCAAACATTGCTAATTTGAATATTTGCTTTGATGTTACCAGTTGTGCCATCTTTGACACAATTTCCTGGAGACACAAAGGTTACAGAGGGAGAAGACATACAGCTGGAGTGTGCAGCAGAGGGAGTCCCCACACCCGTTATCACATGGACATTCCGAGGGAAAATTATTCCAGGTACAACAAAACAGAGATTTGGTTTCAGTTTTTTTTCAAAACATCAAAGTTACCGTAACCAAGGATAGATAAAAACATTGTACAACCTCCCTAGATGAAATAAAGGTCAACTTCATCTGTACATACATGTAATTATGACACATGTTAATAGAAGACATGTAGTGCTAATTTCTTTGTAAGTTTTTTTTCCTTTTCTTTCAGAAACTTTGTCACATCAACACCTGATGTTCAAAATGATATGTCTGACACACAAGTCACTCATTATTGGTCATTTCTTAATGAGATCTTAGATGCACAAATAAAGCAACAGGAACTTAACATTTCAACTGGTAAATGAAAATATTCCTGCCTCATTCACATCTTCACCAGAACTTGTTTACATTTACACACAACCAGTTGCCATCAATTAGCACAAAATTGCATATCTGAATATGCCAGGTCCTACCCCTGGTGCGAGGAGTACACCTGCCAATAAAGTAAATATTTTTCAGCATCCAGTGTGAATGGTTACAGCTCACTGGTGGTGAGAAATGCCAGGAAGAAAGATGAAGGGACCTATTCCTGTGTGGCAGAAAACACTGCTGGCAGACGCAGAGTGGTGGCAGCTGTCAAAGTTAACAGTGAGTTCAACCTAAGGATAAGCTTGACCAAAGGCATTCTACTATACTCTATTTAGCATGGATACATTTGAGTGTTGATACCATGTTGTGATATTGTAGCATATAGGGTCAATACAATTCAGCAGTCCATAAGTTTCTTTGTTTCTTGTACCGCTGCCATGTTGACCATTGTTTGAATGATAATCCCCCTAAGATGTCCACGTTGACTTCAAGGTTCAAGGTTGAATAGAGAATAAGTAAAAACTTCTTAAATACTAAAATACCTACATAAACCCAGAGGTATCTTCTTGCTTCTTCTGGAAATGGAGTGACCACATTTTGTGTATGGAACTGCAGTGTTAAAGAAAATTTTACTAGCCTGTTTTTGGCCCTTTGTCACCTCTTTTTGCTTACCATTGTTTGCCAGATACAATGTATGTTACATGTAACATTACATTATATGTCTGTATTATCAATGATGGTCTATAATGATGGTCTTCACTTATTACCATTTTTTATGCCACAGTACCTCCAAGAGTCGTAAAGAGGCCAGAGAGTAAGGCAGTAACAGTAGCAGGCAAGGTTGTTTTGACCTGTAGTGTGTCAGGAGACCCTCCGCCCAGGATCCGATGGCTCAAGTCTGGGGAGTTTGTAAAATCTAGCAACCGTATCCAGCTTCTGAAGAATGGATCTCTGGTCATCAATGGGGCAACAGTGGGTAGAGGTTTACTATTTCAGGTTCTGTATTATTTTGTCTCATCCATGTTCTGTTACTCATTAAGGTAAAAAAAACTGACAATGTTTCCTTTTCCAGGCAGAAGACAAGGGCCTTTATGAGTGCAGAGCATTTAATGAAATAGGAACTGTAGTGGCAGGGACAGCAGAGCTGACTTTGCAAGGTCAGCATACATGGCTGTTACGGGGAAAAACAGAGGAAATTTTCCTTTATAAAGTTTGGGCACAAAAACTTTTGATGAGATGATTCATATTTTCTTGTCTAAAATCAGTAAATAATGGAGGCAGTATTCCTTTATCTGTATTTTTGCTCATATATTGAAAAATATCCCTGAGACTCGGAACAACAGAGTCAAACCCAGCAGATTAAGTATCAGCTTGTACCAACTAACATTTCTGATTGATCGATAGATTCACCACAGATAGTGGTGAAACCTGAGGATGTTGTGGTGGACCAAGGTGGTACCATCCTGGTGAACTGTGGAGCCATGGGAGAGCCAGCCCCTTCCATTCAATGGCAGCGGGAAGGAATTACCATTATTACTGAGGACAGGTTTGTTTAGGCTTAATGACCCATCCTGAGGGGTACATGGTGTTGTAACAGGTTCAAGCGCCACTAACAGATCCATTCCAATGGGTCCGGACCTTTTGGAGTAGTCATTAGCGCACTGGTGTCGAAAGCTGGCTACCTGGGTTCAGCGCGGGTTTGTTAGCACTGTAAGTGTCATAAGGCCTGGTCATTTCCTTAATAACCACCAATTAAACTGCAAGGTAATATACAATATAATAAATCACCAGGCCTTTATGACTAAGGTCTGCATGTAACTACCAACACAAGTGAACTTACGTGCAAGATATTTTTACTTTGTATGGTATGCTACTTAATATCAGACATCCATTCATGTTACTGTTGTGTTTAAAATAAAGTTAAACACAGGATAGAACAGACTCACGTCTGGACTCTGAGAGGTGGTACCTATGATGCAGTTGTTTATTCAAAACATCTATTAGTGCAGGGGCCAGGTAAGAGGTTAGCAACAGTTTAGTATACATGGGGATTTTGCA